TGGGGCACTGCAACAAACTTATATTGAGTGCATTGGGGTATATTTTAAAGCTCCAAGTAGTTTACAGTTTTGACATTAGGTCAACTTGTTTCCTTTCAATGACATCATTTTTTTTTTAAAGGTGATGAAGGTTTATCACAATCTTAACTTTTCACAACTCTTAAATACTTCCAAGGAACTTCATTTTTTATTAGTGTGACCATATACAGCAACTTGAATAATTCAATCCTGTGAATCCTTGTGTATAAACTGAACAATGAAGAATGATGTAGATATTTGTAAAATTTGTTCTAAAATTCTAATTGTTTCATGTTTCCCAAAAATGCTGATAAAATGGTCAGACAAAACACCAAAAGAGGAAGTATATGTCACCCTACCTTTAGAAACATTTAAAAAATATATTAACTGTGATGTAAAAACAAAGGTACACAATTTGAACCAATGTATCACAAAGAAGTTGAACTGGGAAAAAAAGACTTATAAAAAGCTAAGACACATACCTAACCTGTAAGGCTTATATTCTTACGTCATATATCATTTGGCTACTGAAAAATTAGAAGGATTTGCATTTCCCAGTCTTTGAGAAAGCAAAATTAATGTAATGCAAAATAGAATGTCTAATTAATAAAATTAACAAACCAAAATAGTTTTGTTACATAAATTAACCCATTTATTATAGGCTAGCCATGTTTCAAATTGTGGAGCCTCTACTGGTCTTTCAATTCCTTCAGTTTTCTGATGGCAGACATTACTATGACAGCAGAAGTGGTGTTTAGGTCTAGGTACCACCAGCTACTGTTTTTATGCAGGAAACAGTGCCAGATCCCCACAGCTCTTCTCTTCATCTTGGTTTTGACACAGAAGGAGCAAGTGTATTTGGCATGATGGCTGATTTGCTTCACCATTTTCCTGAGGGAGGCGCCATAACGAGTCCCGTATTTACTGATGATTCTGACCTTAGTGTGTTCAGCCATGTTGCTGAAAACCAGGTCAGAACCCAGAGAACCCAATGATATCTTATCATTGCGAAGCTAGGTTTTTGGTGGCTGCTGTGATAAAAACCGAGTACTGCATGAAAATCAGTATGGAACAGGAAATGAGAGTGACAGTGCCAATCTGATTCTAAGGTTTGAGAAGGTGTCAGTGTCCAAGAGGCACACAAATCTCACTAGTAAGTAACTGTAGTTCTGTAAAAATGAAGTACAAGTTTTTTCTTTTATGTGTATTGTATTTTTCAAATGGCTAAATTGTTAGGACATACATATTTATTAAATTTTTGGACACAGCTACATAATAAAATAAATAGAACTGTTTGGGCCTATGAGTTCTGTGAAAAAATTTTTGAGACAATACGAACTGTGAAAGTTTGGGACCTCTGGCTTACTCTGTAAGGTAATGTCTTGATACGCAACATACAAAATTCCTGTTGGGAGGTTTCCTTTCCTACATGAGACTATTTGTCAGGCCTTTCTTCCTACTTCATCAATCTCATTTCCCCTCACTGGAATTTAGAATAAGTGGATAAAATCATTATCTTAAATTTTTAAAAACATCTTTGTGCTAAAAAGACTCTCCTTAACCAACTGACCAATGGTCTGTGTTTTCTATTCCCTTAATGAGTTAATTAGCCTCTGGACCAGAGGTAAGCTGCTGTTTACTGGTTGCCACTCACTGGCTATATCACTTTGGTCATGTTATTTTCCTAACTCCTTTTTGTCTGGGTTTTCTCTTTTGAAAATGCAGATAATAGTACCTACCTCATAAGGTTATTGTGTGGATTACAAGAATTAGTAAATGTTATGTACTTGGAACAGTGGCAGATAGTACTATTCAAGTATTAGCTATTATTATTATTGTTGTTCTTATTAATTACCCTGTAGGAGTTCAGGTCCAGAGAAACATAACCCTAGTCATTACCTCTCTTCCACATCTTCACTAATACGGTTCTGCAAACGTCGCAGCCGAGGGTCACTTGATGAATCCTCCTCCTGTTCTTCAGGCTCTGCCTCTTGTTCTTTGGCTTTCTTAATGAACTGAAATTCTTCATCTTCCTCATCTGAGGACTCCATTGGGGCATAGTCTGGCCTCTTTCCCGAAACATAACGTTTTACCTTCACTTTCTCCATCGAAATCTCACCTAGACGAGAAAGATAACTTATTATGTTTCAGTAGCCTTTTTCCGAATGTCTTTCAACTCTTGGTCTTTGCAGGTAGAGCCCTGTTTTTATGGTAAATAAGAGTTTAGGCAGGAGAAGAAGAGAGCCACTATCTAACCATCTATTCAGAGAATGGTGTTTTCTTACAAAGGAAAGCATTTTGAAAAAGGAAAAACTATGGAGACAGTAAAGAAAATCAAGGGTTGCCAAGGGTTGGGTGTAGAGCAGGGATGAACATAGAGGAATTTCAGGCCAGTGAATATACTGTGTATCAGACCACAGTGATGGATATATGTCACTTTATGCTTGTCCAAACCCATAGTCTGTACCCCACCAAGAGTGAATCTTAATGTAAACTATGGACTTTAGGTGATTAGGCTATGTCAAGGTAGGTTCATTAATTGTAACGAACATGTCACTTTGGTGGGGGATGTCCATAACAGGGGAAGTTATGCACGTATAACAGGGTAGATGGTATATGGGAAATCTCTGTACCTTCCTCTCAATTTTGCTGTGAACCTAAAATTTCTCTAAAAAAATGAAGTCTTAATAATAAAAAAAGAAGGTAAGGTGAGAGATGGGAAGGGTTTTTATATCAGATTTCAAGACCTATTTAAATTTATAGTAATTAAAACAATATGTCATTGACTCAGGGGGTACATAGAGACGAATGGAACAGAGTAGAGAGGAGAGAAACAAACTTATATGAGAACTTGATATATTACAGAAGTGATATTGGATAGGCTAGTCAAACAATGGAGGGACAACTGGCTAACCATAAGGTAAACAGTAAAATTAGATCTCTTGACACCAACACAGAAAGAATTCTAGATGGAGTAAAGATATGTGTGAAAAATATATCTTAAACATTTACAGCCATACTGGACTGTAAGCTCCTTAACTTAGAGTCTGTCTGCACAATTGTGTATTCAATCCTATTGAGTATATATAAGTAATTACATGATAGAACATCTTTGTAATGTGAATATCTATGATCAGTGTAGG